ATCCCATCCCATCCCATCCCATTATCCCATCCCATTATCCCATCCCATCCCATCCCATCCCATTATCCCATCCCATCCCATCCCATGGATGCCCCGTGGCTCCTCTGGAGCTGGGACAGCTCTGGGGACTCAGCAGCCGTTCCAGTGCCTGCCCCAGGCTCTCCAGGATACTCCTGCTCTCCTTGGAGCCAGGAATGCCCGTTTGGAGAGGCCCTTTCCCCGCTGTGGGAGCTCAGGAGTTTCTCCCCCGTGTTCCACCTCGGCCTGGCCGTGGTGGCAGCTCCTCCTCTCTCTCTGGTGGCTCCCAGGCCCTTCACCCCGGGGTCACCGTGGCCCCTCTCCTCCAGAGCCCTCTCCCCGTGGGTGCTGCTCCCCACTGCCTCTGTCCCCGTGGGTCCCTCCCGGGGCTCCCTCTGGACCTGTTATTAAAATTCCTTTCCACATTGGATTTTCCAGCCCTTTCAGAGCAGCAGCATTGGGGGTGGGGGGGGGGAAGGGAGCCCCGCTCCAGCTCTCTCGGAGCCAAACATTTGGAATATTTCTCCGCAAACCCCTGTTGACACTTTCTTCATTTCACCCTGACAGCTTGAATTAGGTTTTATTAGGGAGCCTGGCTACAAAGCCGGCAGCCAGCTCCCTTTTCTCTTCCCTTTCTTTTCTCCCCTGGCCCTGTCATTTAGGGAGCACCCCGGGGTGCCAGGGGTCAGCCCGTCACTCACAGGGGCCCGAGGTCACCGCAGCCGCCAGGGGATCCGGGACAGGAGCTGTCATCGGCCCAGACAGTTCCCTTCGAGCCTTTTCCTGCCCGTGGCACAAAGTGCAGCTCCCATTTTTATTTTCTCTTTTTTTTCCCTCCCCCCGCCACCACCACCCCTAATTATTTCGTTCAAGCGGCTCCTTGTGTTTGTTGGATGGGAGGGTTCTCCTTTATTGTGGGAGTTATTTCACTTGAGGAAAGTTTGGAGCTCCGGGTGGGTTCGTAGGGCTTGGGAATTTTATTATCGGCACTATTAATTGGATTAGAGCAGGAAAACTTCCTTTATCTCCTCAGCACTTTCACCTTTTTACACGCTGAGTTTATCAGGTTATCTTTAAAAGAACCCCCTCGCTTTTTCCAGTGGAATTTCCCATTGGAAAATAGGGAGTATCTCTGGGAAGCAGTGGGTGGAAGGATGATCAGCTCTAATCCACCAAGGCTTGGGTTTGGGTTTGGCTTGGGGCTTTTTTTGCAAACAAAGCCCCAATCCTGGAAGAACTTGGGATGCAAAGGGCAGGGACACCTTCCACTATCCCAGGCTGCTCCAAACCCCATCCAGCCCGGCCTTGGGAACTGCCAGGGATGCAGAGGCAGCCACAGCAAATTTGGGAACTCCACTCCAGGTCCTCGCTGCCCTCCCAGCCAGGAATTCCTTGCCAAGATCCCATCCAAGCCATTCCCACCCCTCCTTGCAGCATCCCGACGTCCCCCAGCTTTCTCCCGGGATAACTCAAGGCTGGTTTTTGTTTCCCACGTCAGTCCCAGCTTTGTGCCGTGGCCCCTCTGTCAGGTGGAGCAGCAGAAGGAGCCGAAGGTCAGGGGCTCAATTTACCAGGAGGAGCAGAGTTACGGCCCGGCCTTCCCGTGGGGAATTCCCTCTCCTGCCCCTCCTGCAGGAGACAATTCCCGGTGCTGTCAGGGCTAATCCAGAGCCGAGCACAGATCCAAGGAGCCTCTGGCAGGGGGGGTTGGCAAAACCTCCTGGAGAAAGGAGAGGTGGCACCGTGAGCACCTCAGAGGGGCTGAACCCCCAAATTCCAGCAGTGCTGCCATTCCAGACAGCTGGGAAAGGGCAGGAATGGGGACAGGAGTTTCCAGTCTGGTGTTCCAGGGCTGGAGCCAGGCTGGGAGAGCTGGGAATGTTCCCCTGGAGAAGGGAAAATTCCAGGGAATGCTCAGAGACCCCAGAGGGGCTCCAGGAGAGCTGGAGAGGGACTGGGGACAAGGGACAGAGGGACAGGAGCCAGGGAATGGCTCCCACTGGGAAAGGGGAGCTTGGGCTGGGATCTTGGCAAGGAATTCCTGGCTGTAATGGAATTCCCAGATTTGCTGTGGCTGCCCCTGGATCCCTGGCAGTGCCCAAGGCCAGGCTGGACAATGGGGCTGGATCCACCTGGGATGGTGGGAGGTGTCCCTGCCCATGGATGGGGTTGGGAATGGGATGGGATTTAAGGTCTCTTCCCACCCAAGCCATTGTGGGAGATGGGAGCTGTGCTGTGCTGAGGAGCCCCTGTGTGGAAATCCAGGGATCACTGGAAGTGTGTCCTCCTGAGCCCATTCCCTGTGACCTCGCTCACTCTGCAATTTTTCCCATTTCCTTTTAAGATCCCTTCTAGCCCAGACCATCCCGTGGCTCTGTAATTGTGTCCGAGAGCCCAGGAAGGGCTGACGGAGGGATTTTGGGGGATTTCATTTGGGGTTTCACCATTGGAGATCTTTTCCCTTGTAAATGGATTTGATTTCCCATGAAAATCCTCAGTGTTGGGGTTGTGCTGATGCCATGGGCAGCTCTTCCTTGGACCAGCCCCTCGTGGATGTGAGGCTGGGGAATGTGGGATTTGCCGGAGTTAATTCACCTTTCCTCCTGGAACATGGATAAAAAGGCCTGAATTTGTTGTGTTTTGATGCATTGCAAACATCAGCTCCTGTGGGCGCTGCTCAGGGGTGAGGCAGGAGAGAGTCAGGGAGGAGGATGAGGAGAATTCCCAGGGATTTTCTTTCCATGGAGCATCATGGAAGAAAAAGATGCTCCACACCCATTTCTCAGCCATGAAATTTAAAGGATGGAGATGATGTGTACGTTTCCCTCCAACCCAAACCATTCTGGGATTCTCTTATTCTGATTCAAACAGGCAAATTTAAAATTGCTCTTTAACTTTGACTTCGCAGCTCCACGGAAGTGGATGACATGATCAGAAAATCCACAAACCTGCTGCTGACCCGGACCCTGAGCAACTGTTTACAGAACGTCATCAAGAGGAAAAACGTCGGCCTGACGGAGGTGGGATGTGGATTCCCTGGGGAATGGAGCCACGGCACACAGGGAATGGATTCCCCCTGCCACAGGGCAGGGATGGATGGGATCTGGGCAGGGAATTCCGGGCAGGGAGGGGCTGGGCTGGAATTCCCAGATTTGCTGCCCCTGGATGCCTGGCAGTGCCCAGGGCCAGGTTGGACACAGGGGTTGGATCCAGGAGGTGTTGGGGTTGGAATTCCATCATCTTTGAGGTGTCTTCCAAGCCAAACCTTTCCTGGATTTTTTGATTCCAAGACAGGGTGACAGGAGATCCCTTGGGGCTCCTTCAGACACCTTCAGGCGTTTTGGAGCATTCCATTAAATATTTGCCTGGAAAACTGCTCAGAGTTGTACAAAACGAGGAACTTTGCTTGTGGGAAAGTGAAGAGATTTCTGTGCTATTGGTTTTGCCCTCTACATTTTGGGCAATGTTACAAATTTGATTTAAAGTCACAGGACTTCAGAGAGGACCAGAGATGATCCAAGAGGGGAATGGGAGAGAAATCCACATTTTCTGGTGGTGTTTGAGTGGCTTCAGCACTTTGCTGCAGCACAAACCCTAATTTGGGATTTTCTTTCCTTGGTCCATTCTTTTCTTTTGTGCAAAATCAGGTTTCTGATGATTTTAATCCATGTAAATCTGCAGGTCCCCAGGACAGGTGGGACCTCTGGGTATTAAACAAGGTGTAACTAATTGCTGGTACTAAAAAGGAGTTACTAATTGTTTACTTAATTATTATTGCCTTGCATTGTGCTAACCAAGGCTTTCCCTTCCCAACTTCTCATTTCTCCCAGACATCCCACAGCTTCTGTGGACACCCATTCCAGTTCTGCACCTTTCCAGTGTCTCTTTTCCTTCCTGGTGCCCAGGCTGAACCTCCCAAGGTGTCACCAGCACCAGTGCTGGGATCCTTGTGGTGTCCCTTCACAATTTCTGCACCCGCACCTTTGAAATCACCGATGAATCCCATCTCCTTCAGATCTGGGAGCGCTTCCAAGCCCTTCCTGCACGGGAGGTGGCTCCAGACAGCCCCACCACGCTCCAGCAGTGACATGAGACCAGCCCAGGGCGTTCTGCTGCCCCGGGGGCTGGCAGAGATCTGCTCACCCCACACCTGCCAGAGCCAAACCTCGCGGTTCCTTTGTTCAGGGCCCGTGTGATGCTGCTCGGTGTCACTCAAGGTTGGGTTATTTTTCGGGTTCAGTGGCAGCCGGGAGCCTCCTGATGTGTCCTGGCAGATTTTTGGGGAGCCCTGAGTGACAGCTCAATGTAGGAAAGTCCTCAGAAAGACAAAATTGCCTCCTGTGGTATTAGTGTCTGTCATGGGAATTGCTTCCCCCCCAAAAAAATTATCTTGGATTTAGTTGTTGCTAAAGGAGGGGAGCCTGGAGCCTGTGGCAAAGCTCGGGGTGTTTGCACAGCGCCAGCTTTGCACGCCAGGGTGGCGTGGGCTTGGCACGGCTTCCCCTGGCAGCGGGGCTGCAGCCCTTCTTTGCCTTCCCAGCTGGTGCAGATCATCATCAACACCACCCACCTGGAGAAATCCTGCAAGTTCCTGGAGGAGTTCATCACCAACATCACCAACGTGCTGCCCGAAACCGTCCACACCACCAAGCTCTACGGGACCACCACCTTCAAGGTGAGCGGGGCGGGGGTCCCAGCCCCGGCTGGGGGCGGCTGGGCTGAGCCCCAGGATGGGTCTGTGCCCTCCTGCAGAGGTTGCGCCATCGCTTCGGGTTTGTCCTTCGGAGCGTTGCTCCTGTCGACGTCGTGGGAGGTTTCTGTCCTTAATTTGCAGCCCTAATTAGCTAAAGGATTAAGGGGATCTTGAAAAAAAAAAAACCTGATAATTTATTTCTTGTTTAAATAAATCCTCAATTTGCTGTCGCAGCACTGTGTCACGGACACCAGGTTCCTCTTCCACCCAGGAGAAAGACTTCCAGAATTTATATTTCTCCATCTTTCCGCTCCTTTTAGCATTATCCCCTAAAAACCAGGGCTGGCAGAAACTCCCAGATTTTAAATCCCACTCCAGGAGTGCTCCCCCAGGTGCTTTACATGGGATTTGGTCGGGCCCAGTGTGGGGTGTCTGAATTCTGTCCGTGGAGATCCAGAGGTGGGAACAGCAGGAATGGGTTTGGTGAGGCTTTGCCTTGGGGTGGCTCAGTCTCGTGTCCCCAGGGAAGTCCATCCTGGCTTTTTCCAGCTGTTTGGGCAGCAGCTGAGTGTCCTGCCCTCATCCCGACCCCCAGCCCAGCGCTGGGTTAGGTGGGGTTTCCATAGGGGATGTTCCTCTCCCATCTCAGAATCACGGGGTGTTCTGAGCTGTAGGAACCCACAGGGACCCTCAACTCAAATTCCTGCCTGAGCTCCAGAGAAAACGGAGACCCTTTAGGTTAAAAATCAGGATTTGGGGCTGGGTCAGTTTTGCTGCTTGAACTAGGTGCCCACAGAGGTGGTGGAGGTCTCATCCCTGGAAAAATCCAAGACTATGGCTCTTGATCCAGTTGAAGATGTCCTCCAGAGAAGTAAACATGCAAATAAATCCCAGCAATTCCCAAAATCAAGTGGTTTCCATCATTTCCCACAATGCCTACTCCACAGGAAGAACTAAGGACTGAAATTCCTGCTTGAGGCCTAGAAAAAGTGGAGACTGTCGGCCAATCCACCAGCCAGGATTCTGGGATTATTTCCATCCCGGGGTGGAACCACAACCTTGGTGTTACCAACACCAGGATTCCACCACTGGAGCCAGCCTCTCTCCATCTCCTCCGGATTTGTCCTCACATCACGCCGGGGGGCAGAATCCAGCTTGGTCCTGCCCACCACAGCCTGGTGGTCCCTGTCCCACCAGCCTGAGGCTGCAGCGGCCTCGTGGCTGCTGCCCTGAGCTTTAGGATGGTGCCAAATCCCAGCCTAAAGTTTGGGTAGAGCTCCCACATGGTTAGAGGGTGGTGTGGAACTCTCATCCCATGTAGGGTCTCAGTGGTATGAAGCCCCCATCCCATATAGCATCACAGCATGGGTGTGAAGCCCCCATCCCATGTGGGATTTTGGTGGTATGGAGCCCCCATCCCATATAGGGTCTCAGTGGGGCTGTGGAGCCCCCATCCTCTTTAGGATTTTGCTGGTTTGAAGCCCCCATCCCACATGGGGTCTCAGTTTTATGGAGCCCCCATCCCCTGTAGGATTTTGCTGGTTTGGAGCCCCCATCCCATGTGGGGTCTCTGTGGTGTGGAGCCCCCATCCCATGTAGGATTTTGGTGGTGTGGAGCTCCCATCCCATGTAGGATTTCAGTGGAGTGGAGCCCCCATCCCATGTAGGATTTTGGTGGAGCCCCCATCCCATGTAGGATTTCAGTTGTGTGGAGCCCCCATCCCATGTGGGGTCTCTGTGGTGTGGAGCCCCCATCCTATGTAGGATTTTGATGGTGTGGAGCCCTCATCCCATGTAGGATTTTGGTGGAGCTCCCATCCCATGTAGGATTTTTCCCCCGTCCCATGTAGGATTTTCCCCCCGTCCCATGTAGGATTTTGGTGGAGCCCCCATCCCATGTAGGATTTCAGTGGAGTGGAACCCCCATCCCATGTAGGATTTTGCTGGTGTGGAGCCCCATCCCATTTAGGATTTTGGTGGAGCCCCCATTCCATGTGGGATTTCAGTGGAGTGGAGCCCTCATCCCATGTAGGATTTTGGTGGAGCTCCCATCCCATGTAGGATCTTTCCCCCGTCCCATGTAGTATTTTCCCCCCATCCCATGTAGGATTTTCCCCCCATCCTATGTAGGATTTTGGTGGAGCCCCCATCCCATGTAGGATTTTGGTGGAGCCCCATCCCATGTAGGATTTTTGTGGAGCCCCCATCCCATGTAAGATCTTTCCCCCGTCCCATGTAGTATTTTCCCCCCATCCCATGTAGGATTTTGGTGGAGCCCCCATCCCATGTAGGATTTTTCCCCCGTCCCATGTAGGATTTTTCCCCCATCCCACGTCCTGTCTCGTTCCCAGGATGCCCGGCACGCCGCCGAGGAGGAGATCTACACCAACCTCAACCAGAAGATCGACCAGTTCCTGCAGCTGGCCGACTACGACTGGATGGCCCCGGAGCCGGGTGGCCGGGCCAGCGACTACCTGGTGGATCTCATCGGCTTCCTGCGCAGCACCTTCGCCGTGTTCACCCACCTCCCGGTGAGCCTCCCTCCCTCCTGCTCCCGGGCAGCTCCAGCGTGGTGGGCTGTGCTGGGAACAGGGCCTGCTGCTGCTGGAGGATCTAGGAGAAGTTCTGGCTTTAAAGGAACGTGTTTCACATGTCTCCACGAGCTGGGCTGCGGGAGGACTCTCCCAGTTATTTGCAAATCTGCTTTTGTGGGATTGGGGCTCCATCCCAGCCCACCATGTACCAGCAGGATGGTAATTTATTCCCCACCTGTATTTTAGATATTTTAACTTGCAGTTAATGCCCATCCAGGATTTTTATTTTTCCCAGAAAATCCATCCTATGGGCTCCTTACTGGAGCTACAGCTGTGTTTCCAAGTGTTTGTCAAGTCCCTGATGCCTCCCATCCCACTATTGCTCCCTTGGAAGGCACCATATGTTTCTTTCTTCTCTCTGCTGTCTGAAGTCCCTGTGTTTATGCTGCTGTTGCCATCAGAAATGTGCTTTATGTTGCTTTTTGCAGTTGGCTGAGTGGTGTCTCATTGGTAGGAAAAACCCAATCGCCAAGGAGATTCCTTTTTTGCTCCAGCAGCTTTTTTCCCTCCTCTAAATGGGATTTGTTTTGGGCTGTGTGGATGCACTCTCGGGAGGAGCTGGGATCAGCAGGTATTTTGAAACAGCAAATCCCCTGAACTCTGCGGTTGTTCTAAAAGCAATTTCAGATCTTTCTTTCTTTACAAAACTGGGATTTATTTGCTGCTTTCACGAGCTGGGAGTAAACAGGAAGGGGAGATTTAATATTCCCCAGTGGCAGCTTCCTTCGTTCTGTCCGTGCCCTGGAGTTCTCCTCTGGAAGGAGGTCCCACCCTGCAGAGCAGTTCTGGGAGGTGTCACACCCCCAGACTGGCTCGTGTCTTTGGGCATCCCCATCCCAGCAGGAAGATCTGGGAGCAGGGGGGAGCTCTGGCTGATTTGCTGTGGGGGAGAAGCCCCCAAAAGGGGACTGGAAGTGGCTTCCCTGCTCCTCCGCACCTGTGTTGAGGAGAAGTTATCCTCAGCTCTGTTATCAGCGGGACAAACTGGGAAATGGACTGATAAAGCGTTGAGCAGAGAGGTGGGCAGGACTTGGGTCCACCTCCCCAGCCAGGTTTGTCCCAGGTTTGTCCCCAGGCAGGTGTCCTGTGGCAGGTGCCTCCTGCAGCCAGGAGATGCTGGAAATGGGTGGATTCCTCCTGGAAAAAAGGAGCTGTGGGTTGGTTCAGCACCTGGAGACTTCCACCCATCACGCTGGGAATGCTCAGGAGCCAGTAATGGAATTTGACAGGGAGATTGGTCTCTGCAGCAGAGCATGAAGCAGCAGAGATGGGCTGGGGGGGGATGCCCACAGTGATTTATGAGGTGGGCCAGGAGTGATTTATCTTCCTTAAATATTAATGTTTCCTTTTGGAGCCAGTCAGGGTTGGTTTGGAGGCTGGGAAGACTTAAATTGGTCTAAAAAGCACCAGGACGGATCGAGGCAGCCTTTTGTCTTCCAGAACCGGGTTAGAAAAGCCTCAGCTGAGGAGAAGTTTGGGTTTGTTGGGCAGCCCCTGGGCTCCAGAGCCTCCCCAAAGCCTGGGGAGACAGGGGAGGCACCTCAGCCTGGTTTGGGCAGCTGCAGGTCTGGTTCAAAGCTTTGTGGGAGCTGCAGGTTCGGGATTTTTTCATATTGATTGCAGCTTTTTTTCCTTATGTTGCTGATGGATCACCCAAATGGTGGGTGAGAGCAAGCCAGGAAGGACCAGGCTGCATCCCAAAGGCCTCCACATCCTGTGGTGTCAAGGTTTTTCATCCCTGTAGGGTTCAGCGAATTTTTCCAGATTTAGGAGCACACTGAAATTCCTGGGCTTTGCTACTGAAGTGCAGGAGATAAAAGTGTTGCCCAAATCCATGTAAAAAACGATGGAGGCGTTTGTTAAAGGACCAAAAATGTGAGATGAGCATCATCTGGGGAAGGAAGGAGTGAGAGGGGTGAAGGAACATTCCCAAAAGGGTGAATTCCAGCTCGAAGGAAATTCAGGGTTCTGGTGACAAGGTGGAGCTGATCCAAACCCATCCCAATCCAACAGCACGAGAGGTGTGATTGGAAATAAAGCACAACAGTTTTGGGGTCTGACAGGAGCTGCTGCCCTGTTTGAGATGAGTTTTCAGCCTGGTCCCATAAAATCCAGGATTTCCATGCTGCCTGGAGCTCCAGGACTGTGCCCCATCCTGGGGTGAGGTGTCCTTGGAGCCCCTTCGTTCCTGTTCTCCTGCCTGGTTTGGAAATGCCCCCATCTTCCAGAGCTGATTCCGACTGAATTTATGGGATTTTGGCCCAGTGAAAGGTGTTCTCCTGGTGTTGGAAGGTGCAGTTTTGTTGCTCCCCCACTTTTTGTCCCAGCTGGAATGACACCTCCACCTGCCCATCACGGAACCTCAGCCCGGGCGTGTCGGAGTTCCTGGGCTAAAATTCCACCTCCAAAAAGCCCCATCAGGGAAAAAAAAACGGATCCCAAAGTCCTGAGGCTGCAGAAACGCACTGTGGCAGGGCTGGGTAATCCCATTGTCCCGAGGGAGCCGCAGGAAAACCTCTGCAGGTCACGGCTCCAGCCGGCCCCAGGGCAGCTCAAGTGGCCTTGGAATATCCTTGGGATTCAACACTGGAGAAAGAGGAGCTGAAAGGAATCTCAGCTGGGATTTGGGATTAAGGTTTATGTTTCCCTCTTTAGGCTGAATGTTCCTGTGTTTCTTGGGAATCCCAGCGTTATTGTGTTGAACAGTTTGGGTTTAAAGGTCACCTTGCTCCAAGCCCCTGCTTGGGACATCTTCAGCTGGATCAGGTTATCCAGAGCTTTGGCCTTGGATTTTTCCAAGGGTGAGGCCTCCACCTTTTCTCTGGGCATCCAGCAAAAATAAGCCAGCCCAAAATCCTGGCTGAAGTCTCTTTTTAAATCTCCTTTTCTAGGCCTCAAGCAGGAATTTCAGTCCTTAGTTCTTCCTTTGGAGTAGGCATTGTGGGAGATGATGGAAACTGGGATACTGGGAATTCCTGGGATTTGCATGTTCCATTTTCTGGGGAACATCTTCAACTGGATCAAGCTGTCCAGAGCCATGGCCTTGGATTTTTCCAGGGATGAGACCTCCACCACCTCTGTGGGGCACCTAGTTCAAACAGGAAAACGGACCCAGCCCAAAATCCTGATTTTTAACCTAAAGGGTCTCATCTTTCTCTGGAGTTCAGGCAGGAATTTGAGTCCCTAATTTCTCCTTTGGAGTAGGCATTGTGGGAGTGATGGAAACCACTTGATTTTGGGAATTGCTGGGATTTATTTGCACATTGCACTTCTCTGGGGGACATCTTCAACTGGATCAAGCTGTCCAGAGCCATGGCCTGGGATTTGTGCAGGGTTGAGGCCTCCACCACCTCTGTGGGCAGCCAGCAAAAATAACCCAAAAATAATCCCAAAATCCTGGCTGGTGGATTGGCCTAAAGTCTCTTTTTCTAGGCCTGAAGCAGGAATTTCAGTCCTTAGTGTTTCCTTTGGAGTAGGCATTATGGGAGATGATGGAAACCACTTGATTTTGGGAATTGCTGGGATTTATTTGCACGTTGCAGTTCTCTGGGGGACATCTTCAACTGGATCAAGCTGTCCAGAGCCATGGCCTGGGATTTTTGCTGGGTTGAGGCCTCCACCACCTCTGTGGGCAGCCAGCAAAAATAACCCAAAAATAATCCAAAATCCTGGTGCAGCGGCCTAAAGAGCCTCCACTTTTTCTAGGCCCTGCAATCCCAGATTTTTCCTTTGGAGGAGGCATTGTGGGAGATGATGAAAACCACTTGATTTTGGGGAATTCCTGGAATTTATTTGCACGTTGCAGTTTTCTGGGGGACGCTGAGCCCTCACCAGTGCCGTGGGGACAGCGTGTGCCGGGGGGCAGGAAAAGTTCACGGAGAACTTCCCGGGGTTTTGGTGCATGCCAGTGCTGTGCATGAAACGGTCATGGTGGTTTGGAGCCACAATTCCAGAATGCTCCACTAAGTGCCCAAAAATGTCTCCGAGCAAATAAAACGCTGATGGGAATCAAAGCATAATTAACATTTGGCTCCCGAGGCCGCCCTCTTCCTGCGTTAACCAGGGAGAGTCGGTTCCTGCTGCTGCTGCTGTGGAGCTCATTAATATGGGATGCTCGGGTCTCCTTTAAAAGAAAAACCTCTTTTTTTAAGGGTAAAATAAAAAAAAATTAGTACAAAAAGTATTTTAGGCCTTAAAAAAAAAAAAGGAAAAAAAAAAGCGGTTTCTGGTTTTCAGCAAGCAAAGGGCCACGGCCTCCAAAAATGAACATTTCCAGCGTAAGACTTTGCAAAGAATGACTGAAAAAGCCTTTTGTCTTTGATGGCTGATTGTTGTTTTTATTTCTTGTTGGACAAGTTAATGTAAATGGCATTGACAGGGCTACTCCAAACACACTGATTTGTTGACATTAAGCTCCTCAGAGATGGAGGGTTGTGTCAACACCTCCCCTGAACTGTCAGGTTAACAAAGCAAGGATGTTTTCTTGGGGGAGGGGAGCGGGGCTGGGGGAAGGGGGGGGTGTTTTGTTTTTATTTTCAGTTTCCTTTAATCCTCTGTTAGTCTTGTATCTCGATAACCTCCTTTGGAAGGGAATCGGGGCAGGTCAAGAGGTGAGGCTGACCTGGGAAGGGGAAGCAATCTTTCAGCGATCCAACAAATCCAACCTCTGCCGTTGAGCACTTCAGTGTGAACCCTCTGCAGAGTTGGTTTTTTTTTTTTTTCCCTATTTTTTTTTCCCCTTTTCTGCTTATTTTTGCCAGATGGCAGGCACAGATTTCAGCTGGAGCCGTGATGGTTTCTTGCCTTCTCTTGGCATCTCTTCCCCCCTTGCAAACGAACGGCCCCGGCAGCTCTTGCTCTGGTAGAAAGAGCTTTGCAAGTGTTTATTTTCTTTCCAAAGAGAACGATTGCCTGTGTTTTTATTTGAAAAGTCAAAT